ATGTCAACGAATAGTCGACTATTCGACCATCAGTCGAATAATGAAACGACATTCGACTATTACCATTATAATTAAATAAATGCAATAAATGAGTAATAACAAGATGGAATTCTCATCACAAAATTGAGAAAATGTCTTTCCTCAGAGACAGCCGATAAGATGATTTTTCTAAACAAAAAAGCGGTTGATTTTCCCTGTGCGTATAGAAATACTGTTATGTACTTATAAGTGCTTCACTAATGCGAGAAGTATTTGTCAGTAACGGCCTGTGTTGTTTTTGTAATAAATTTCTAGTAAAATGGGCTTTGTTTGTAAAAATATTAAATGGACGTATACCATGTACCAATTATCTTTTGTTATCTTAAGATTGCTCAAATGCAAGGAACAAACCATAGCTGTGACATATTTTGACTCGTCGATAATTATTAAAACAATTCGCTTACATTTTAAACTGATTAAGGTCATTTTGATAGCCAGAGCAATTAATAATTGAATAAGTAGTATCTAACTGTTTAACAATTTCATAGGCATCTGACGTGTAAAAAGTGTGAGGTTAAACCCCCCCCCCCCCCAATTTATTTCAAAATAAGCTTTAAAAAATATCGGCTGTCAATTTTTTAATGCTTACTAAAATAAAAATTGACCGCATGACTGTACAGACCGATTACTGATTTCTACTGAAATCATACATTTTGGAGAATTAGGTTTCTAAATTTATTTCATATAATCATGCTATTCACGCGTTACGTTGTATTACTTTTAATGGTACTTTTTAAATATATTTAAGTAAAAGGGTTTTTGAGTTTTAAATACGTCATGTAGCAGTAAAGTTTGAAATATTTTTTTTCCAGAAAATGTTCCGAATATTCGACTATCGTTCGAATAATGCAATCGAATAATCGACTAAGGAAAATAAATATTTTGACATCCCTAGTTTTATTTGTTGGATTTATGAGATTGATCACTGTTCGTTATCTTTATCTTTTACTTCATAATGAATTTTATTTATTCCTAATATTGACTTGTTACTACAAAGAGGCTATTTGTTAAGTTTTGTCTGGTCAATTTATAATAGTACTAGTCTCATGAAGAGATATAAGCCAACCAGTGTAGAAGAGAATCCTTTTGTTCCATAATTAAGTTAAAACTGAAAAAAACATTTAATCGTCATTGAACTTGTTGAATCATGCATTACTATACATACTTGATTAAATTGGCTGTAAAAATAAGGGTTAATCGTACTACAAAATTATATAGAACAATGCTGCCACATAAAAAGTTGCTGTGCATGCTAAAAAAATCATTATGCTTTACTTAAAATGTGTTTCGCCGAATATTCTTTTAAGTTTTGACTTTGATTGTAATTACTGCTAGAAATCATTTTCCTCACATGCAAGTTAATACATTGTTTTGTGAAATAAATGGATGTTTTAGAATTTAGACATGGATAATTTCCTTCTGTCTAGTTTATATCTCTCGAAAACAAGACAATGTTTTGTGATTGTCATTATTTAAAACTGAGTAAAATTTTTAGTCATATGAGTATGTGTTATTAGTATTGAAAGATCATGTTGTGCATAGATGAACTTTTATTACAAATAAGGAAAACTGTCTTTATATTTTTTGAGCGAATTTTAAATTATGAAAATATCAAATATTAATGTTAACTATAGCTCGGTTTTAAGATTATTTCGACTTGGGAAATTACTTTTGAACTTTTGCATGAATGTGAAATGCAGAGTTTCAAATGTCAAATTATACAAACTGTAACAATAGCAAGTTATGAAAATTATCACAAATTTGAAATTGTTCATAATTTTAAGTAAGATAACTCATAATAATACTGCAAAAATCAGATTAAATGTGGAAAATTACAGTAATTAGCAATCTGAAATGACTGTACCTCAGTTGATTTAAAACGTAATATTACGGATAACATTTAAAATACCCTTAAGGTCAACCAAATTATTCTCGTTATTTTGATGTTATTGTCCGCAAGGTTTGGTACATCTGTATGTCTTTCTCAAAATGATAAACTTTCTGTATATTGTATGAAGTTATGATGAAGGAATGTATGTCCCCGTGGGTAAGATATTTAGACACCAAAGTGGGAATAATTTGAAATGGTATTGATAGTTTCTGACGCATTTATATACAGTTTTATTCATGACACTTGAAAGACTCATTGTTTGTTTCAAATGATAAGAATCCCCAAAGTCTCGACATTCCTATCAATTATTTACTATAGTTAACTATACTAAATACTTTGATACTTTGATTTACTATGAAACTTTACTTTAAAACTTTGGGGGGGGGGGGGATTTTGATGCTAAAAATTTCTTAAATTCAGTAACATTGAGGTAAAATTTGGAAATAATATGTGAATACACAAGTAATATTTCCATTTAATATCAAAACTTTGCATGTATGACTTGGAGAACACAAAATATACCAATCTGAAATTCATAGTAAAAATAATTTGATTTACTATAATAAAAACTTTGGTTTACTATAGTAAAACTTTGATACTATAGTAAACTATAGTTAACTATTCTATTTTTTGTTAGGGATATGTGGTTTGCATTGTACCAAGAGAGAAATAAAACATACATGGGCCTTATTGCCTGCTGTCAAATCCCTTTTCCCTTTTTCCCTTTGGAAATAATTATTTAGGAAACAACTTAGTAGTAGTTGTGCAAGGTATCATAGCAGGCTTTATATATTGGAAATTTAAAAATTAAACGTATTCTCTTAAATTTTTTTCATATAATCATTGTAGGCATTTTTTTTTCAAAATAGTCATAAATACAAAAAGTAATTTGTATCACGTGTGTCCCAGTTTCAGGGGCCATTTTTTTTCAGATACGGTTGTTCAAATCTTACATTATGAATGCATTAGATCATTTTCACTCCTTGACCAGACTATTTATTTTCAAACTGAAAGCCAAGGAATCCAAAAGTTAGAACCCACAAGAATGTGAAAGAAAATGATCTTCTTGGTTTAAAACTGATTTAATCATACAATGCAAGCATTATAGTATATCCCTGTTCTTTTACTTTCTATTCTTGAACATTTGGCAGAGATATAGCTGGTATATATTTATTATGAGGAACTAGTTCTCTGCCAAAATTGTAAAATTTATGTCTCCGAGGAAACTTGTTTTGGCTCCGTGATGCTTAGTTTCAGAGTCATGAAAATATTGATCTAACGTTCCAAAAGCAGTACTTATTTTCTAATATATACCTGGACAGAGTTCTAAGAAGGATGGTTAGTTAAACTGCTAGTTAATGAAGACAATTTCTACATGTATTTTGACATAAGGTTAACTGAAGAATAACTGTAAGTAAAGGGTAATTACTGGCTACAGACATTGATTATCTATTCAATAAATGGGTCTGATAAGGAGGAATATACTCTATAGCATAAGTGTTTCATTCTTGTAAGCACCTCTAACATTGATTACAAATGTATATCTTAGGTTTATATGGGGTAAATATCACTATTTGTACCACTAGTTTTACCTGTTGAAAAAAAAAATGTAAGTTGTCAAGAGGGAAAGTAGAACAACAAAGAAGTTAGTGTTGATTCTTTAAAAACATTTTTTATATAATTTACAATTAACTATTATTTTATTGTCTTTTGCTCCATAAAATAGTTACACATTACTAAACTGCAATTGCCTCGAACGGTAATGATTAGATTTTTTTGTATTTTTGAACCTGAATCCCTTATTAGAAGAAGCACGAAATCCATAACTACTACATGACAAATATATCGGGTTATTAGTTGTCTTAATGACCACCATTAAAGGATACTGAGGGATCCAGTCCCATTATTGATCAAATTAATGAGTCTCGATAGAACACTTGAGAAGGCTCTGGTGTAAGAGAAGGCCACAAGGACCAGCGAGAGACCCTTAAGCCGTCTTCTTATAAACCTTTGGCCAACAGCTTTTCGTGATCGTTCAAATAAAAGGGGTTTTATCTTACTCAGTGCGATTTCATGTCAAATTAATGAGAAGATTCTTCAAACAAATACGGCCAGTGTTATCGTTCTCACAATCAATTCATCTGGTGTCAGTTCAGATCAGGTTGTTGAAATGCACGCCATGATTTAATATCCCATAAATGTACTTAGTAGAGAGCCTATGAACTTTCAAATTTATAAGACGGAAATTGGACATGTTCGTCAATTTTCGGTAATTACTTGGGTTTTTTTTCTTTATCTTTATTTTTCCTGGAGATTTTTTTTTCATGAGATAAGACCTCTTGTGTGTTCATTGAAGTCCAAAATAAAAATTAAGAAGAGTTAAATTTAATTGTTTATTGATGAAGACAAAAAGTGTAAACCATTGACATGAGGGGGAAAATGTAGCAAGAGATACCTCTTAATTTTATGACCAAACATTTTGCATTTTTTGTGTAGTCTCATTCAGTATATAGAAATTGGCTTTCTTACGGTATGGATACGCTAAAGATATGCTAAGTCTTGTTCTTTGGTTCTTGAACTCTAACTTTTGGATTTGATCATACTAAAGATTATTTTTTAATCTTGAACCATAAACATGTCATTTGATCGAAATTGTTTTAGTATCAAGCCTTGTTGCTTTCATAGATCGATGTGTCAACGGGTATAAAGAAATCTGTCCATCTGTGTAATGTAATAATGATCATTGATATTTCTTCTTTGAAATGTATGGTAAAAGCTGATGCATGTTACTAAATAGAAGAAAATGACTGCTGTAGAGTTCATCCTTTTTGATATTATCACACCGTTTAAAACAACTAAAATCGCAATTTTTTCTTAACACAGAGGCATGAATAATATAATCGATCTGTCGTCAATACTCCATTTGAAGACACAAATCAATTCTGTTAAAGAGAGAGAGGAGAGGCGGTCTATTTAAGCGACTACAATCGTTAAACACAATCTTAGAACATATAATAACTGTGGCATTGTTGAAGGTTGAGAATAAGGACCTGGTTTTGTTTGTTTACAGGCACATGACGAGTGATGATTGGATGGCTCTGTTTATACAGTGTAATCGTTCTCCAATCAGGTAAGTCAAATCTGGTGGAAGTGAAATGTGATGACTAACACGTCACAGTCAATAGAGTTACCTGTTTTTTTGCAAAACTCTTATGGCATAAAAAGGCAAAAATTTGTGACTTTCTGGTTGTCAATGGAAAGAATGGAAAGTAGCAATCAATTAAGCGAACGATAAAACAAAACTATGAACTGAATACTTTTGCCATTAACTCATTTTGCTGATTTAAGCATGTTTCCAAAATATGAACTTGAAAGTTGAATGTAATAATCATTAGGTTTGGGAAAAAAAATGATCATTTCTTGTATTCCAGGATAGTTATCAATTATTATTTCGTATTTTTTGATCGTACAAAATCGTTTATGTCTTCAAACGATCCGTAAACTAGCAATTTGAATCAAAACGTAGCATGGCAATTTCATTCAACTTTCTTGTTGTTATAAATGAATCAAACTTTCATAATACTGAGGATTCAAATACAAGGGCGGTTTTAACATTTTTAAAACTTAAATTTAGAAGAATATTTTATTATGATTTTAATGTATTTGGCTTGATTTCATTTTAAATCAAATTAAATTTACAGTATATGTATATCTAAAATTGTATCTAGAAATATAATTATTTGGATTAAACATTTCAATTTCATATCCATGCATAGGAAGAGAGTATGAAACTTCGTATGTGCATCTTTAAAAGGATGTTTTGTACTTTGATTATAGGTAAAAACAGGCAATGGCCATGGTTCTACAGAACTACTGAAAAAAAAATAAAATTGAACGAAAATTGAGCTGAGTAAACTTTGGACTTATACTTAGCTGTGAAGTTTATGCCTAATAAGATCACATGTATATCACTTTCTTCCTACCATGTTACTGATCATCTTCAAACTTACTTTGTTAAAACCCATTCTGATTCTGTACAAGTACTCTGAAGCTGATATTAAAAAGATGCTGAGTTCCTCAATGACAATTATCTATGTATAGTCTTTGGGGACCAGGTTTTCCAACAATCTGTTGGAGTCCACATGAATGCTTATTGTGTCCGTTATTAGCTGACCTGTTCTTGTATTCTTATGAAGCAGGATTGATTCAAAAACTTCTACAGAATGAGGAAGACTCTTGTTATGGCCTTCGATTCGACTTTTAGATATATCGATGAGGTTTTATCAATTAACAATATTTTCATTCATTTGTTGATTCGATTTATCCCATCGAACTCGTAATAAAAGACACCACTGAGTCTGACACATCTGCTTCATATTTGAAAGTTTTTCTAGAGAAAGACATTGATGGCACACTAACAACTAATCTGTATAATAAAGGTGATGACTTCTGAATCAATTTTTCTATCGTCAACTTTCCTTATTCGTGTAGCAATATACGATTATCACCTCGATTTCTGTCTCTCAGTTGATTAGCTATGCAAGAGAATGTTCTTCCTATGAAAAATGTCTGAAAGGAGGCAGATAAGAACAATAAGTTGATGATACAAGGGAATCTACAATATCGTTTATCGTAGACGTCGACATTTGGAACATTCTATACAATTCGATACAATTACCTTGTTTCCAAACACAATCTGTCGTTAGGTCGAATGTTTACTGACTTTTTTTTCGTACAAAATTGTTAAGCTAATATTATACCCCCGCTTGAAGAGTGTTCATGTGTGTGGGAGGAGGATATAGTAAAGAGGTGTTCGTCCATTTCACTTGGGGTAGCCATCCATTATCCTCAACTCCTCTTACACCACTTTGTGCAATTTAGTGAAACTTTCACAATGTCATTGTGATTCACAGTATCATTGTGCATCTCCTATTTAACGTTTCGATCGGACATATTTTTGGTTTCCAGTAGCAAAACATGGACACTGCAATTTGGGGCTACCCAACTCTTATCCTCAACTCCTCCTACTGTATACCACTGAATAAAATTCAATGAAACTTTCGCAGAAACTTTATTACTTAGTGCCATTTTGCATCACCTATTATACAGTAAGTTTAAATTTCGATTGGACAGATATTTGGAGTTCCCCTTGGCAAAATATGGACTTTGCCATTCTTGGTACCCTTGGGGGTAGCCATCGCCTATCCGCAACTCTTCTTAAACCACTGAATAAAATTGCATGAAATTTTCACAGAATCTTTATTACATTATGCCATTCTGCACATCTTATTTTATTTTTCCATCGGAAAGATATTTGGGATTTCACATAGACAAGTAAAACATGGACTTTGCCATTATATTCGATAAAGGGGTACCCATTTTGTTAATGCAACTCCTCTTAAACCTGAATGAAATTTAATGGAACTTTCACAGAATATCATTCACATACTACCAAGAAATGCTTTTTGTCATTTTACTCAAATAGGAGCCAGGTATCATTTTGTGAGCTCTGTGCTCACAATATCTCTATTCATACCAATTTGACTACGGATTTCTCCATTTCCCCAATCCTGACAAAGAGCACACGGCGGGTATGACCGGTCGACAGGGGATGCTTACTCTTTCATGGCATCCCCCCACCCCCTCTTCTGATATTTCTGAGGTCTGCGTTTGCTCTGCTTACAATTTATATTGTTGCATTTGATTTTTGGTAGTCTCGATCATCCAGACGCTTGTCTTTATAACACAAACTTCGCGATAGAGTCGAAGCGTCTTGATGATCAAGACTAGATTTTTGGACATGATTACTGTTCGCTATCTTCATATTACATTTCACAGCAACATTAGGAACAAAGATTGAAAAAGTCAAGTTCCAAGAAAATATTGAAGGTTTTACACTGTGATGACTTTTCAGTTGAACTCTCAACTTCTGAGCCAATTGGTGGATGGGGTAAGTGGGGGTCGTGGAGCACCTGTTCAGTGACCTGTGGCTTTGGTTCAATCAGGCGTAACAAACAGTGGGAATATCCGGACGGTAGAACGGCTAACTACACTTTGACCAAAATTGTTGAGTGTTTTATCAAGACAACCTGTCCCAGTAAGTAATGATTGGTAATTGGAAGGTGTTCCTCGTCAGTCATTCAAAACTATTTATACCATTTGTCTTAAGTATTTCATCCTCATTTAATGTTTTGAATACTAGTATTAGATAAAACCCCCAAAATGTAACTATATACAGTTGTATTTTTCATAATTCTTCTTCTTCTCCAGACTCATGTAAGAGGGAGTAATTTAAATTTAAAACTTTTTCGTGATTGTCTTTTTTCCTTAATTTTTATATGTTGAACATTTGGGCTTTAAAAGTTGAATATTTTATATTCTTGAAAGCGTCTTTAGAAAATATTAACACTGTTAAAGGAATCTTTGCATGAATTTAAAAAGTCAAAGTGCATTAAATGTTCTGGAATTCCATCTCTGAAATTCTTTTTTATGAGAAAATCGATTTTCAGAAAAGTTAAAAGAATTTTTCCTCTGTATTGTATCAAAAAGATCTATGAATTGTTCTTTTAATTTTAAATTTGATCCTGCTGTTCAGAAGTTGGTCCATTTTCAGCGGAACAGAGAAAGAATAATTCAATCTGCTAATTCTTGTGAAAGAATGCATTTGCTGTTCGTTTTCATTGTGAATTCTAATTGGTTAGTGCACTATTACGCAATACAATACCTGTTGGGGTTTCCGTGAAGTAATTCTTAGAGAAGAAAAGTCTTTTCAGTCTGTTTTTCCCAAGTGTCAATCCCTAAAACCTCGTTGAAAACTGATCATGAACATCATGTTATGTTGAAATTTCTAGGAACACTTGACAATTCCTATAAATCAACACGCTATGGGATCTTTGCAATCTTGAATTGGTATAACACCATTTAATTAAAATTTAGGGTTGATTACATTCAAATCAGCTACAGTTTCTGCATCCCCTAGAGTCACAGAATTGATGAGTACAGTATTCTTTGTCCTTCCAGAAATATACTTGTTTTTGGATTCCGAGTCGGATAAACAATTTTAATGTGATCTTTATGTTGAAATTATTTCAGTTAAAAATTGTTATTAATACGAAATTTAAAAATAAGTTTTAGTCTAGTATGGCTTTTTCCCGTTTTGTAGCCCATGGCGGTTGGGGTATGTGGACTGGATGGACCAGATGTCCGGTGATGTGTGGTGGCGCCAACGTTACCAGAAGGAGGCTCTGTAATGCTCCAGAGCCCAATAATGGTGGAAGATTCTGTAACGGATCTGCAACTGATTCATTCATTTGCAACAATGTCACTTGTCCTGGTAATGCCCTTTAGCATATTTTATAAAACCAATAAGCTCAAGAACAAATTATCTCTTCTCGTTTCTCGTCCGTTCGCAGATTCAAGTAATTTTATGCCGTGTATTGGTAATTGTTTTTCTTTCTTTAGAAATCCCTCCAGATTTCGATATGAAAAGTTGTTTCAATGATTCCATGTTCGTGTGCAAAAGTGGGCAACACTGTGTTCCTAATTCGCTGAAATGTGATTTTGAGCTAGATTGTCACGATGGCACGGATGAAAGAGACTGCATCATTTCATTAGGAATGGGAATAAATTGTAAGTTGTGTAACATGCATACAGCGATATACAACATCGCTTTGGTGTTTTGCTGCGTAGATCAGTTGTTTGTTTGTTTTTTGGGGGAGGGGCTGTCTTTTTGGGAGGTTGGATTTTTTTCCAGGGAGTGAAGTACTAGAACTAGGTCTTTAAAAATTTACATACTTTAGATTGATTTTTTAAGAACGGGGAATAAGTCTCTTATGTATTCATATGATGTTAAATCTTTATAAATCACAGTTTAGCTTGCTGACAAATGTAGAGATTATTGTTACACATTTCAACCGATAAAAATTCAAACAGACACGCATATCCACACATTACATCTGTCGTTCGTAATTTTAGACATTTCAAGTTTCAAAATATTTTTATGTTTGAGTTTTATTATCAAGTAATACAAAAATCTTGAAGTTTTATCCCTGGTGAATTCTGATCTGTATTTTTTTTTTCTGAAGACACCCAATATTCAGCTAAATTTCGTTCTACTTTCAGCTTCCATGCAGAAATCAAAGTTTTTAGCTGTGATATGTACATTGCTAATTCTATGGGAGAAATTATTTGTCACTTAAACGTGTGATACATTGCATATATATTAGTCATCATTTTCCATTGATCCTATGGCAGAGGATAATATGGACCACAAAAAGGGACCTTGAACTTAAACCTCCTAACAACTGCTGGCAGTATGGGCGTGATATCTACTGACCATTTTAGTAGCAATGTGTCAAACGTAAACTTATGACCACAATGTATAGTTTGTCACGTATAATTGTTTGTAAATCGTGTGTTACAAATGTTATTGTTGAGATATATACACTGTTTTTTCTTAATAAAAATATTACCTCTTTTTACTTTATACAGTCATAATGAAATTCTGCATGCCAACAATATATACTGGTATATAAATCTTGCATGTATTTGAGGGTAACATTAAAAATAACAATTGTCAATCGAGGCCCAATATTACATGTATATAAAACTAAATGGGTTTTTTTTTACTGTGAACCGTACGCTCATACATTCGGTGCAGTCGACATTTTTAATACCACCCGTCGTCAAGTAATGTTGACTGTTGCTACGTTCTATCAAGCTGGAGAGCGTGGTTTTATCAAACAGAGGATAAAAGTATTTTTTTTATCAATTGTTTCTCGAAGAATCGGTTTCAACTAATGGAACATGGAAGTATAATTTAAAGTATTATGTGCCCTCTGTCGTAAATTTTCATTGCAAAGTGAATATAGTTATACTGTACGCATCTTGCTCATTTATTATGTCATTGTATACATTGCCTTGTTTCACGATATTGAAATGTATATTCTTAGGCTATTGCCACGTCAAGAATCTTGCCTTTGTCTTAAAACTGCATGGTCAAGAAATCCAAAAACAGTGTATTATTATCCTTCATAAAATTAGTGCAGATAGTTTTTATTTTATTTGAATAACAATGAACTACAGCTATTATCCGTCTTCATTTACCTTCATTACTGTCGACCATCTTTAAATTTCCTGTACCAGCTTTGACAGTAAGTAAACGAAATTTTAAAAGTCCGTACAGTACATACCTTTAAATCATACAGATGATCCAAATCTTTAAATTTTTTTTCACTCTTTAGACATATGCATGCCAGACAGCAAAATTTCTTCGTTTCGGAGGAAAAAAGTCGCAAAACTGAGCACTTATTGTCATAAGTGATTGAGGTTGAAGCAATGACTGGAACATGGTTATTTCACGAATTCACAATGCATGAAATCCATTTTCAACTTTTTTGCAGACAATGTCTTTTCTATTTAGGAAAGACAAGGTCACTTTCTATCGATGAAGCGCAAGATGACAATTAAAGTGCTTTTTCTCCTGAATTGTTTTTGTTGTTGTTGTATTCACAATACATACAGCAGACGTCGATATATAATTTCAAAATTGATGGATATAAAGAGCTGTTTTCAACAGTTAATTTACTTTCACGACCTTATCCGATATATCGGCTCGCTATTTAATTAGAGGTCTAATATCATAATATCTAATATTGAAAAACTTTTGGTACCAGTATATAAACGTACATCATTAATATATATTGGACACACATATATCAAAACGTGATGGATAATAAATGCTTCTTCTGTTAATTTATTGTTGAAATCAATAATATTAATCTAAAGTACACGCATGGTATTGATAATATTCACAGTGGTACATGTATTTTTACTCCAAGACAGGATTTATCATAAAAATTCCTTCATATCTGATGAATATTCAAGTTTGGACTGGAACATGTGGAACTTTTACTTACGAATTTTTTGTTGATTCAGAATTGTTTAATTCGATATTGATCATTCATATTAGAAAACATAAGACGACAGTGATCTTCAGAAGTATTGATCAATCTAGGACTTATACCAGTACACCTGTATACATTATCCTTGCACTTTAATCATTCGTTCTAAATACCAACCTGGAATGTCAATACTTATAGTCAAAGGGAGATCACTTGAGATTTGACATATTCAATTTAGAACAAATTGTTTCACATTTGTGCACATTAGGGCTGCGCAATAGTATCGATATTCCGGTATGTTGCGATTCGTTAACAAAAAATATCGTATTGCGATACGTTTTTCCAGTACCGATATACCGACAAACTGCTTGAGCTTTAGATTTCTTGAGTAAAATATGAAATTTAACAGGTTAGAAACATTTTCAATTCTACAAGTGGTAATCCAACTTATACTCGTAGTTCCCTTTCTAAGGAAGAAATTCTTCAAAATCACATGTCAGTTTCGAATATTTTTAATATTCCAAACAATTCAAAATGAATTTGAATTACCATATTTATACTGGATTCCGAAACTTCTAAAAAATCCTTACAAACAAAGATACATAGCGGGTTCCAGTAAATGTTCAACCAAGCCTCTTTCTTTACTCCTCACTAAGATATTAACAGTGGTGAAGGAGAAACTTCAAGAGTACTGTGCAACAATATATTCGAGAAGTGGTGTAAATCAGATGTGGATACTTAAAAATTCCAAGGAACTTTTGGAAAATTTGAAATCACAAGATTTTACCAAAATCAACAGCTTAAAAACTTACGACTTTTCTACTTTATACACAACCATTCCCCACGGTAAATTAAAGTCCAGGCTTTTTGATATAATTGACAGCTGCTGTTTCAATAAAATACCTAAAATACTTACATAAAATACTTACCTTGTCATTGGTCATTTGCAAAATTATTTTGTTAAAAAAACATTCTGATTGTACATACAAGTACTCTGAAGTTGACATTAAAAAGATGCTTGAGTTTCTGATTGTCAATATCTATGTGTTTTTTGGAGACCAGGTCTTCCAACAATCTATTGGAATTCCCATGGGTACCAATTGCGCCCCGTTATTAGCAGACCTTTTTTTGTATTCATATGAAGCAAAATTTGTCCAAAATCTTGTACGTGAAAAGAAGAAAACACTTGCTGTGGCCTTCAACTCGACATTTAGATATATCGACGATGTATTGTCAATTAACAATGGCTATTTCCATTCTTATGTCGATACGATATATCCTGGTGAGCTTGAGATATAAGATACCACAGAGTCTGACAAATCTGTTTCATATTTGGATATTTTACTTGAAAAAGACGTTAATGGTAATCTAACAACCAAGCTTTATGATAAACGTGATGACTTTAACTTTTCAATCGTCAACTTCCCTTACTTATGCAGCAATATACCTTCATTATCTGCATACGGGGTATATATCTCTCAGTTGATTCGATACGGAAGAGCATGCTCTACGTATGTACAATTTCTAAAACGAGGTAAATTATTGACAAACAAGTTGATGAAACAAGAATATCAGCTGTCTCGTTTAAAGTCATCATTTCGTAAGTTCTATGGTCGATACAATGACCTTGTCAGCAAATACTATTTATCATTGAGTCAAATGCTGACTGACGTTTTTCATACTAATTGTTAGGCCATTATTTACACACTGAATTGTCGACGGATTTTTCCGTTATCTCCCGATCATGACAAGGAGGACACGGCGGGTGTGACCGGTCGGCAGGGGATGCTCACTCCTCCATGGCACCTGATCCCACCTCTGATGTTTAGAGGTCCGTGTTTGCTCTGCTCCTACTAGTATTTCGTATTGTTTAATGGACTTTTGTGCTTGAATACTGTTCGTTATCTCCATATATTTAATTTCAATCATGCCAAAGAGTACCAGACGGTAATGTTGCTGTTGTATGGTTGCATTTCGTTCCAAAACTGTAGTGAAATCAACAGGAACTTTTTTGTCAACATGTATTTATAATAGTTTAACACACTCTTTTTATAGATGAAGGTTAATAAAATAAGAAAAAGAGCATTTTAACTGACATTGAAAATATTGCAATACATATCGCAATACAGTTAAAAATATCGCAATACAAAATTCCCAGCCTATACCCAGCCCTAGTGCACATATATACTTTAATTTGTTCGGTACAAGGCGATATTACGAGAATGAAGTCAGAGAGAGAGAGAATTCAACATATCTCAACGATCCACAATAGCTATAAACTTCCAAATTATTTTTCACTAATTTGAAGACCTTATTTATTATTGTAAATAACATACTGACTAAGTGCATCGTAAATTGTATTTTTAAAAAAAATCATTTTGTTTTACTTTACTGACAATGAATTATTTGTAAAAATTGAAAACATTACCAGTAAATCTCTAACATAATTGATTAATGTTTTTTCACGAAAAATAACGTACCTTATCTCTACCTGTTATGAAGGATTTTATGTAAATTTTAATTTTTGAAGTCTTTGAATAGTATTTGTTTTGCAAGATGAACTCTCGTCATCTCGTCACGGAGCCCTTGCATTAATATTAGCTTAATTCGAATGATCGTTGCACTTTCGTCGTTCAAAGGGGGATCATTTGAGTGCATCCAGAGTTACCTTATGCAAATTTTGCAAGAATACAGCTAAGCATTTGTGGGATAAGTACATGTATAAATTCGAGATTTCCATAGGGATGAGGAGGGATTAACTTCTCCGGTTCCCTAGTTGTTTCAGGTGATGAGGCATACACGTGTATAGTACTGCATGCATATGATATATACAGATACTGAAAGGAAAAAGAAAAGCAGGGTAACATAATATGCGAAAAGTTTCTGACCGCATAACCGAAAATTACGAAAACTGGCTAGATGAGAATCTTGGTTGCTGTGCACTAAAATCAGTGTTCAGAATTACTCTACCGTGAAATGTATAACGTAGGGAAAGTGGTAAAAAGCCAAAGACACGTGCAAATTGATGACGGCAAATTTGTCAACACATCTTGTTGTACCATTTGATGCACTTGAGGTATACACATTGTTTTTCGATATTTACAGACGATATGAATTTCTTGCAATCATGGTACAATTTACGAAATTTCCATATGGGGTCTGGCTTTTTCCATTGCCTAAGTTAGGACAAAGGCAACAACGGGTTGCTGTGCAGTTTCTTGTAAATTTTCCCCCATAGATAGTCGTATCCGTCTTCAGAGAGGTCCTGGAATGGTTTCCAATCAACCGTGACGATGATGTTGACGTGTAACAGAGTCACGTCAAGATCGGGTTATTCATCTTGCCACTTGTTTAATCGCAACCCTACTACCACTAAAACTGCTTTAAATACAGTAGGCTATCGTAATCATTACATACACCCTAAAACTGAATTTTTTTTAATTCGTCAACTTTACGTTGGTGTTCCTCTCACTGGCGCATGCGCGCGTCGTTTGCCTACCAATGTACCCAGGGTTTGTTAAGACTTTCTCGCAAACAATCACATTTACCTACTCTACTGGTCTCCGTAAAGTCT